TCATTTTATTTATCTCAAACATTTCTCAATTATAATCATTTCATTTTATTTATCACAAACATTTCTCAATTATAATCATTTCATAATATTCATCACAAACATTTCTTAATTATAATCATTTCGTTATATTTATCACAAACATTTTTCAATTATAATCATTTCATTATATTTATCACAAACATTTTTCAATTATAATCATTTCATTATATTTATGACTAACATTTCTCAATTATAATCTATTCATTATATTCATCACAAACATTTCTCAATTATAATCATTTCATTATATTCATCACAAACATTTCTCAATTATAATCATTTCGTTATATTTATCACAAACATTTCTCAATTATAATCATTTCATTTTATTTATGACAAACATTTATTTATGACAAACATTTCTCATTTATGATCATTTCATTATATTTATCACAAACATTTCTCAATTATAATCATTTCATTTTATTTATCACAAACATTTCTTAATTGTAATCATTCCATTTTATCTATGACAAACATTTCTCAATTATAATCATTTCATTATATTCATCACAAACATTTCTTAATTATAATCATTTCGTTATATTTATCACAAACATTTCTCAATTATAATCATTTCATTTTATTCATGACAAACATTTCTTAATTGTAATCATTTCATTTTATTTATGACAAACATTTCTCAATTATAATCCTTTCATTTTATTTATCACAAACATTTCTCAATTATAATCATTTCATTTTATCTATGACAAACATTTCTCAATTATAATCATTTCGTTAGATTTATGACAAACATTTCTTAATTATAATCATTTCGTTAGATTTTTGACAAACATTTCTCAATTATAATCATTTCGTTATATTTATCACATACATTTCTCAATTATAATCATTTCGTTATATTTATCACAAACATTTCTCAACTATAATCAATTCCTTATATTTATCACAAACATTTCTCAATTATAATCATTTCATTATATTTATCACATACATTTCTCAATTATAATCATTTCGTTATATTTATCACAAACATTTCTCAACTATAATCAATTCCTTATATTTATCACAAACATTTCTCAATTATAATCATTTCATTATATTTATCACAAACATTTTTCAATTAAAATCATTTCGTTATAATTATGACAAACATTTTTCAATTATAATCATTTCATTATATATATCACAAACATTTCTCAATTATAATCATTTCATTATATTTATCACAAAAATTTCTCAATTATAATATTTCTCAATCTTTCTTTCAAATTTGACCATGTTTATTACAGATATTTTATAATCATATTATTTCCAATATTTCCAAACCATGTCTATCATTATCATATAGATCACAAATAGTTCATTATCATGTTGATCACAAATATTTCATCATCATATTGATCACAAATATTTCATTATCATATTGATCACAAATATTTCATTATCATATAGATCACAAATATTTCATTATCATATTTATCACAAATAGTTCATTATCATATAGATCACAAATATTTCATTGTCATATTGATCACAAATATTTCATTATCATATTGATCACAAATATTTCACCGTTTTAGTTATCTCAAATATTTCATTATCATATTTGTCACAAATATTTCACCTTATATTTTACATGTTTCTTACTAAAAGGTTATCAGAAATATTTCTCCTTGTTAGAAAAAAGTACTTCCCTGTATCACAATGTAATAATACAAATGTTTTAACATCATATTTATCACAAATATTTCACCATAATAGTTATCTTAAATATTTTACTATAATAGTTATCACAAATATTTTACTATAATAGTTATCACAAATATTTCACCATAATAGTTATCACAAATATTTCACTATAATAGTTATCACAATTATTTCACTATAATAGTTATCAAAAATAAATCACAAATATTTCACTTTAATAGTTATCACAAATATTTCACTATAATAGTTATCACAAATATTTCAACATTATAGTTATCTTAAATATTTTACTATAATAGTTATCACAAATATTTCACCATAATAATTATCACAAATATTTCACTATAATAGTTATA